ACTGGTAAGCCAGCAAGAACTCAGTGAGAACGTGGAGTGGGAAACCCAATTGGAATGGAATGGAATAAATGGGAGATGAGAAAGTAGAGTAAGAGGCAATAATATTGCTCAAGAAGTCTTGCCATACAGAGCACAGCAGTGGAAAGGACACAAGAGAGGAATCTGGGTCCAAGGGAGGGTTTTTCTCAAGACGGGAGAGATCTGCCATGTTTGGAAGTAGAGAGAAGTAAGTGTCACGTGGGGAAAAGAGTAGCTAACCACTGAAGCACAGACCTCAAGGGACTGAGAGGGGATGGGTTCCAATGCACAAGAGGAGGAGCTGGTTTTTGCTGGGAACAGAGATGTTCCCTTCCATGGAAGAGGAGGAGAGGCAGGAAGTATCTGCAGGCTGACAGATTTGGTGCTTAGATGGAGTTCTCATTCACTTGTTTTCTCAGTGAAGAATAAGCCAAAGCCATGAACTTGAGGTAGGAGGAGAGGGATATTGAAGGTTCGGAGCAACAAGGAGCTGTGACAGTCATTAGGAGTGTGGAAGAACAAACTTCAGGAGCATGCAGTAGGGTCTCAGGCAGTGTTGTGCACCCATCTGAGATCCGTGCACATGAATTTAAAGAGAGACCAGTCATCAGCGATCACTTCTGATTCATTCACACACAGGAATGAATGGAGTTTGGTAAATGAAGTGGTGCTTTCAGCAACTGTTCACTGAATAAGCAGATGAGTGGAGTATCATGTAAGACATTAAGATAAGGGACGAAGACCAGAAATACAGAGGGAATGTGTATTTGCCATCTTAGAACCTACTTGAAGACAAAACACAATTATTTGAGCACAAAGCCATATTTCAACAAGCACAAACATATTAAGTTTTCAAGTTGAAGTTATAAATTCTGAAACAAATGCAGGGTAAGGGGGGTGGGGTCTGGGTAGAGGTGGGCAAAGTTAGGGTTAAGGGGAAAAACAAAGAAAAAAATGCAGGGTAATGGCATACTTGAAATAAGATGAAGAGACCTTGGGCCAGGTAGCTCGGTTGGTTAGAGCATCGTCCCAATACGCTGAGGCTGTGGGTTCAACACCCGGTCAGGGCACATACAAGTGGTCAACCAATGTATGTTCTACATACAAGTAAGTGGAACAACAAATCGATGTTTCTCTCTCCCTTCCTTCCTCTCTAAAAAAAACAAAAAAAAATCGATAATTAAAAAATTAACCCTGGCTGGTGTAGCTCAGTGGATTGAGCGCGGGCTGTGAACCAAAGGGTTGCCAGTTCGATTCCCAGTCAGGGCACATACCTGGGTTGCAGGCCAGGTCCCTAGTGGGGGCCATATAAGAGGCAACCACACATGGATGTTTCTCTCCCTCTCTTCCCCTCTCTCTAAAAGTAAATAACTAAAAAATTAAAACAAACAAACAAACTTAAAATCCTATTTAAAAATAATAATAATAAATTTTAAAAAATAAGGTGAAGTTCATTGGGAAAACATTCCTAAAGTGAAGTTTCAGATCTGACTTCGATTTAATTAGGAACAAGTGTTAACAGAAAACAGAGAATAGGGGGGAAAACAGATGTTAATAAGCAAGGTGGGTAGTACTGGCTATGTTGTATGTTGTGTTGAGTAAATGCAAGAGGACTGAGTCTGAAAGCAGGGATAATGACATAGTTTAAAGAGTAGCTGCTTCACACTAAACACTAACAGCTTATCCGACATGGCTACTGTGTATCCAGTGCCTGCCTTAGGTCCCGGCACCGAGCTAGTCATTTAAAATGTATATGATTTCCAATGCAACCATACAGAATTACATAGTTTATTAGTAGTGACCAAAATTCCACTTGTCAGATGAGGGAATTGAGACTCAGCATTTCAGGAATTTTACCAAGCTACCATGTTTGGTAAAGAGCTGAGGTAAAGATTTGGAGCCGAGTCTCCCTGATGCCAAAGGCCACCGTGGGTCATGGGTCGTATAGTTCATTTCACTGTATATTTCCATTCCCCTTGCACTCAGCACAGAGGCCTGCCCAGGACACTGCCCAGCAGTGACCCCAAAATGTAAATCAGGTGACCTGTCCTTGCACTTAATCCCACTTGTTCCCGAACAACCTTCTCTGCCCCACTTCCCACCCCCACCCTCAGCTCACTAGTTTTCCAGTTTCTTCAATGGGACAACCTCTTTCTGTCCCCAGGGCACTTGCCTTGTGCTGCACCTGTACCTTGGGAAGGCCTGTCCCCTCACTCTTCCCAAGCTACCCCTTTACATCCTTCAGATCTCAGAGTAATTGTTGCTCCCTCTAAACTGCCTTCCCTGGCCAGTCCATCTAAAATATACCCCTGTATCAGCCATGTTTCCTAACGTTCATCACGTTTTGTGGCTGTGTTGACGGTTTACTTTCTGGGGTCCTTCTCCAGTATTAACCTCATGAGACCAGAGAACTTGAGTCTTGTTTACCTTTGATTTCCCAGGACTGTGCTGTTCTGTAAGGGGACACTAGTCACATGTGGCTATTCAGGACTGCAGTCGTGGCCCCTCAGAACTGGGATGTGCAGTAAGTGGAAAATTCTTACTGGGTTTCGAAGACTTGGGATGAGAAAGCAATGTATATGATCTCAATGTTTTAAAATACTGATTACATGTTGAAATTATAATATTTGGAGAAACTAGGTTAAATGTGATTAAAATTAAATTTCACCCATTTTACTTTTTAATGTGGCTACTATATATATTTTTTAAAGATTTCATTTGTTTATTTTTAGAAAGATGGGAAAGGAGGGAGAAAGAGAGGGAGAGAAACATCGAATGCACCAGAGACATATCGACTGGTCGCTTCCTGCACACCCCCAACTGGAGACCCAGCCCACCATCCAGGCAGGCTCCCGGAGCAGGAGTCGAACCAGTCGCCTTGCGGCTTGCAGGCCAGCATTCAGTCCACTAAGCCACACCAGCCAGGGCAGAAGGTTTTAATTTACATAAGTGACTCACATTATATAGGTTCTGGCACAAATAGCACCCTTTTTTTATGAGTTGGTATTCTATACCAAGTCTTGTATTACAAAATCACAAGCATGTAATTCTGTAGCATAACAATATCACACTCAAACACACCATATGACATTTTAGGTGAAATGTTCGAGTTGCTGTCCATTTTGTGCAATACATTCGCGTACCCTACCAACCACACTCAAGCAAGCCTTACGACATAATTCGACAGTAATGTCAGCAAATTTGTCCCGAATTCTGTCTTTTAGTTCATCAATGTTGTGGGGTTCGGTCTTGTACACAAGATCTTTAAGGATACCCCACAAAAAGAAGTCAGGAGGAGTTAGGTCTGGGGATCCATCCGGCCACTCCAGCGGCCCTCGGCGCCCTATCCACCTCCCTTCAAAATGCATGTCCAACCATTCTCTGACACACATCGCATAATGTGGTGGTGCGCTGTCCTGCTGGAAGTAAACTCCAAAATCCTGTTCAACTCTCGGCCACAATTCTGTTTGTAGAACATGTAGGTAATTATTCTGATTGACAGCACCATCAAAGAACACTGGCCCGATTATACCCATGACTGATATTGCTGCCCACACTGTTACCCCTGGTAAGTTTGTGTCTTTCTCTAAGATAACGTGTGGGTTCACATCGCTCCAATACACACAATTATGGCGATTGATATGGCCATTCAATTTGAACGTAGCCTCATCCGACCACCATATCTTGGCCGGAAAGTTCTCATCCTCACGTAATTTGGCCAAAAATCTTTCACAAAATTCTACCCTTCTGTCTGAATCTCCATCATGTAAGGAATGTAGCAAACGTGGAATGTATGGCTTCATTTTCATTTTGTCCAGCAACCTTCGAACACTTCTGTCACTAATACCGAGTTCCCCTGACAGACACTTACTGGATTTTTGAGGGCTTCGTAACAATGATGCCCGTAATTCGGCAGCCTTTTCTTCTGTTGTTGCGGAAACTCGTCTTCCTGATCTTTTGGCATCATGCACACTGCCGGTTGCCTCAAACTTTCTGATCAGACTCGTGATGTTACGACTCTGAACCAGCCGGATGCCAAATTCTTCACGTAACAACCGAGCGGTTGCTGCACCGTTGCACTGGTTTTGGTAGTACAGCTTCACTGCTCTCACTCGCTGCTCCCTTGTCAGTCGATGGGCCATTTCATTTCAGGGAACCTGGAACACAAAGGGTAATAAATAAGGTTACTAAGGCAACACATCCGTTTATACTATACTATTTTACTTTAAAAAGGGTCTTACTTCTGCTGGACCCTGTATTTCTAGGCTCTGAAGCAGTGTTGTCTCAGAGCCTAGCAAAGTGCCCTGGTCCGTTTTATTTAGCGAAATACCCAATGTTAACAGACAGAAGTAATGGGTGAGTGGAGATATTTATGGTCTTTGCCTTCCATTAGGAAAATGGACACAGCATTGTGCTGGGTGTCAGGAGGCCTGGGTTCTGGTCCAGGATTTACTGGCATCATCGTGTAACCTACCCTACTCTGGGCGTCAATTTTCCCATCAGGCAGTTGATCTCTGAGGTCTGAAAGTGTATGAGAATAAGTGGTGGAGAAAGGTGGGGAATCCTGGTCCTACAGACATTGTCTTCTGTTTGGCTCTAGCACAGCACCAGAGCTTCGGCCCACGGGAGGAGACAGCAAGAATCGAAGACTAGACTCCTGAAGCCAGTGAGGACCGCCAGCTTCTTCGGACTGACGTCACTGGGGCGCGACGCCGTAGTCTGTCCCGTCCTCTAAACGGCAGCGGCTCCCGCCAAGACAAGCGTGGAGCTAACAGTTCAACAGCTCCTGAGTCTCTTTGGGACTCAAGTCTCAGTAAACCGGCCACGGCCAACTGCCTTCTCACTTCCCTCTCACCGGGCACAAGAACCTGAAAGACATGAACCCTACCGGACTGTCCCGAGAGCACTCTCAGTGCGGCTGCGCAGGGCACGTGCTCAGCCTCTCCGGTCCGGCGATTGGCTGTGACGTAACTTCCGGCGTGAGTGGCGAAAGCCGGGAGGGCGAGCGACTGAGCGAGCAGGCATCCAGCAGCAGGCAGCAGGCAGGCAGGCGGGCGGGCGGGCAGACGGCACAGAGGGAGGGAGCAAGTGAGCAGTGAGTTAACCAACGAGGGCAGCCGCGTCCCGAGATCAGCCTAGATTCCCCTCGTCCCTCTGACCCCCGCCCCGGAGCCCACAGCGCCTCCGGTCTCCAGCGGAGCGGACACGGCCCGGCCCGGCCATGGCCTCGTTGCTGAAGGTGGATCAGGAAGTGAAGCTCAAGGTAGCGGCACCTGTCCGGGCCTCGTTACCCCTCGCTTCGATCCCCAAGCAGTCTGACCGGCTCCCCACTCCCCATGGCGTCTTTGTCTCCCTGGGGACACCAGCACTGAGCTTCCGCTCGACTCAGCCCAGCCCCCCACTCCCAGAGACGGCATCGGGGAAGAGAATAGTATAGGGTGGCCTTCTGTAACTCGTCCAGTGATGGAGAGCCCTAGGGACACTTCTGCGGACACGTGGTGAACTCAGTGCTTTAGGCTAGTGACAGCTGTAAGTTCCCCAGCCCCGCCTCCGGACGCTGCCGCTGTCCTTGGCGTCAGGCCTGCCTGAGGCCAGGTCTGGACGGCTTGGCACGTTTGTGAGCTCACACCTCTCCTATCCACCTGTCTTTCCTCTACTCACAAAGGCAGACAGCCTCAGACACAGAGAGGGAGAGAGAGAAGACAGGCGGGCGCTGCCCACAAGCCCCGCTTCCCTCTCCTGAGATGGAGAAATGGGTCCTCAAAAAAATAAAATACTTGCAATCTGGGGGCCTCTCAGCTTCTCATTACAATAACAAGGTGAGGGAGAGACAGCTAGATTTGGGGTTCCCCGTTCTGCCCTCTCCTCTGTTGCCAGGTACTGACTTGCTCTTACTGAATTGCTCTTTGTTAATTTTAGGTTGATTCTTTCAGAGAGCGGATCACAAGTGAGGTGAGTGAAATACATAGAAAAGTGAGTGCTGGTTAATAACTGGGAGTTTCCCAAAGGAGAGAGAACTGTAGAGAGAAACCATCCTACAATTCTTAATGTTATTTTTCCTCATCTTTAGGCAGAAGACTTGGTGGCAAATTTTTTCCCAAAGAAGTTGTTAGAACTTGATAGTTTTTTGAAGGTGAGAGACCCTTTTCCTAAGATTTCCCAGTTTTTTTGGCCCTGATCTTTCCATCAGATGGGACAAACCATGTGTTGATTCTGTTTTCTTTCGTACTGTGAAGCACTGTCATTTCTTTCCCTTCATATGGAATATTTCTTTGTTCATCTCGAAAAGACTAATGTTTAGGGGGTGGGCATCTCTCTTTCAGGAACCAATCCTAAACATCCATGACCTAACTCAGATCCACTCAGACATGAATCTCCCTGTCCCTGACCCCATTCTTCTCACCAATAGCCACGATGGACTGGATGGTGTAAGTGTCCTGTATTTATATTTATCTTTGTCTTCTGAAGCAGTAGGTTCTCTGTCCTCTGTTTCCCGATCAGTTCACACATGCATAGAGGAGACAGTGGGATTTGGATCTGGGAATGCGGCTGGCACAGGCTTGATGACTCCAGTACACCCCCTTTAGACCCTGAGTTTCATTTGTAGGAGGTGAATTTCCAGTAGGACTAATAGCTACAGGTTCCCCCAGGTTTCCTGGTCTGGTCCCATGACTTCAAGCAGGACTTTTTTTTTTTACCTGTTTCAACGTCTTGAGTCTTGTTATGGGATAAGTAGTAGTTCTTTTTTTTTTTTAAGATTTTATTTCTTTATCTTTAGAGGGGAAGGGAAGGAGAGGGGGAGAGAAATATCATTGTATGATTGCTTCTTGTGCGCCCCTGCTGGGAACCGGCTGCAACCCAGGCATGTGCCCTGACTGGGAATTGAACTGCGATACTCTGGTTTGCAGGCCCAAGCTCAATCCACTGAGCTACGCCAGCCAGGGCTAGTAGTTCTTCTTGATAATAACCGCAGTCCCTGTCTTCACTGTGCATCTGTGTTACCCAGTCCTTATCCATTAAATGTCTACATTCTACAACAGTGGTGACATTGTATTGTTCTTTGTTTGCCTTACCGTCTCATTGTTAGAGCTTACAATTCTGGAAAGCACAACCTGTCTTAATCGTTTCTGTATTTCCAGTACCTCGCATTGTTCTTGGTCCATAACAGGTGCTAAATGCGTGTTGATGGACCATTGTATTTCTTTACAGGATCAGCAAACTTGCACATTTTCCCTTAATTATCTTTACCCTGCATCGAATTATTCTTTTTTCCTGTTGCGTGTAGCAGCGGTTTTCAACCAGTGTACCCCCAAGAATTTTTAAAACATGCAACACCTGACTGTTTAGTCAGGGGCATTGACCTCTTTTCCCTTAGACTGGCAAATGAAAAAAATGACAGCAGCAACACAATAGCCATTTGGTATGGATGAATCAAAATTCTGCCTATTTTTCTGTCAGATCAGCAAAAAGTATATATTTTGGTGTGTCACAGAATTTTAGTAATTAGTTTATGTGTACCATGAGATGAAAAAGGTTGAAAATCACCTTTTTATAGTATCCATTTTTCTCCTCTAATTAGTGTGTTATATTTCCTGAAAGTTTGGTCTTACCAACTAGAATGTAAGTGGCTTTGTGGCAAAAGTCTTTTCTCCAAGCCTTGTATGTACTTCGTAAATTGCACAAATTAATAAGACAGGGAGGCAAAGAAGTGCAGAAACGTGCGTGAAGTGGAACTTGTGATGGGGATGTGGGTGTCAAGAGCCTGCTAATCTCTGACTCCTTTGTTCCCTTAGCCCACTTACAAAAAGCGAAGGTTGGATGAATGTGAAGAGGCTTTCCAAGGTAAGAGCCACCCCACCCCACCCCACCCCACCCCACCTGCCCCAGGCTTGCAGCCTTGAGAAGCAGGATGGGTCTGGTATTCTCCTGGCCTGGAAGCAGGATCTGATTTTATTTCCCAGTGTTAGCATCCCCAAATCTTCCAAATCCGCTCATTATTTCATGGTACTTTAAGCTGAACTTTTCTGTGAAAAAGGAGGGTTTGACTTAGTGTGGACCGCCAAGGAGAGGGACAGCGGTAGCTGTGCATTGCAGATTTCTCACAGAAGTCCCAGTGCTGTGTTTTCCCCTCTCTCTAGTCAGAGTTGGTACCTTAAGTCTGCAGAGCATATTTTAATTCTCTTATTTTTTAGACTTTGGGCATACTGTGGATGCTCACTTGTTAATCCATACATTCTCTTCTCGATTCTGTTGGTGGTGTCGATGTTTGTTGTGACAGATAAAAGGCAGAGGTCATAGCATCTCATGGGTCTAGGGAAGAAGGGAGACAGGTGGGGATGCTATGTCCTGGCACTCACCGCAACCATTTGGCCTTCTTCATGTCCCTGCCAGGAACCAAGGTGTTTGTGATGCCCAATGGGATGCTAAAAAGCAACCAGCAGCTGGTGGACATTATTGAGAAAGTGAAACCTGAGATCCGGCTGCTGATTGAGAAATGCAACACGGTGAGGCAGGGGCTAGTGACCTACGGGCTGACTTCAAACAGCCTGGCTTGAACAATGAACAGTGATGGATGGCGGGGCTGGAGCATGGAGGTGACATGGGTGTTGGCAGACTAAGTATCTTGGCTCCTGTGCTCCTGGCATCTGGCCCCAGCAGCATGAATTGTAAGCTTCATGATGTCAGTAGAAAAAGCCGTGGTCCTCATATATACATTTTGGGCTCCTCACCCTCCAGGTTAAAATGTGGGTACAGCTCCTGATTCCTAGAATAGAAGATGGAAACAACTTCGGGGTGTCCATTCAGGTAAGGTGCTTCCATCACACACTGGAGAGGAAGGTCGGAGAGACACTCTCCTCTCTCCTGCTGTGTCTGTTGAAGTGACTTTTGACTTACTGCCTTTTTTTTTTTTTTTTAGGAGGAGACCGTTGCAGAACTAAGGACTGTGGAGAGCGAAGCTGCATCTTATCTGGACCAGATTTCTAGGTAGGGCTGCCTGGGCGTGGCCCTAGCATTGGGGGCTGGCAAGGTGGGGAGTACTGCCCAGGGTCTCCTGCAGCTTTTTCCTCTTCTCTCTCCTTCCAGATATTATATTACAAGAGCCAAATTGGTTTCTAAAATAGCTAAATATCCCCATGTGGTAAGTAAGGGTTCTGTGGCCCAAGGGTGGAAGTGGCAGGACAGGGAGGAGCCACCGTTCCAGGGAAAGAGCTGTCTGCGGACAGTCTGGCCTTGGGAACTGGCCTTCTCTCTGCCCCTTCCTCCAGGAGGACTATCGCCGAACCGTGACGGAGATCGATGAGAAGGAATATATCAGCCTCCGCCTCATCATATCAGAGCTAAGGAATCAATATGTAAGTACCCTTGGCCCCTGCCCACAGTTGCCTTGGTGTCTCTTAGTTCTGGTGATAAATTTCTTGTGACTCTCTGGGGGTCGAGATAGGTGACGGAGGTAAAATGAATAGAACACATTCTGCTTGTCAGCTGAGTGTTGAGAACTGAAATCATCGAGGGTAGATAGCTGGGTATCGCCCTTCTCTGCCTGGATGGGAGGGAGTGCAGTGTAGCATAAGGGTCATCAGAATCGGACAGACTTGGGTTTGGAACCGATTCTACCTCTAATGTGTGGCCTTGGGCAAGTTGTTGAACCTTAGACTTTAGTTTCTTCATCTGCAAAATGGAACTTAGTGTCTACTGCTCAGAGATGGTTTTAAAACTGAGTGAGAGAGCCCTGGCCAGTGGCTCAGTTGGCTGGAGCATCGTCCTGTGCACTAGAAGGCTGCGGGTTCATTTCCCCGTTCAGGACACATACCTGGGTTGTGGGTTCAGTGGGGCACATACCGCAGGCCGTGGTAGATACTTCTGTGTCACATCAGTGTCTCTCTCTCTCTCCCCCTTCATTTTTCTTAAAATCAATAAACATATCCTTGGGTGAGGATTAAAAAATAAATACATTTTTAAAAATGACTGAGATAACACATTAAAGGACCCACTGCAGTTCTTGGTCTGTTAAGTGCACAGTAAATGTCAGTTACTATTAGACACGCAGGGCCTTGGAAATGGCCAGGTACACCCAGGGTGGGGCTAAGAGAAGTCTGGCAGCCGCCTCCATTTCCGGTGCAGACCAGTGAGAATGGGGTTGTGTGAATGACTGCTGGGGAGGGGTCTTTTCTTTGTGAAGAACAGATAGAACGGCCAGTGACTCTGCTCTCTCCCCTCCCAGGTCACTCTACATGACATGATCCTGAAAAATATCGAGAAGATCAAACGGCCCCGGAGCAGCAATGCAGAGACACTGTACTGAGGCCAGGGCCAGGGCCAGGGGACTCTGTGAGTCTGGCTCAAGACCGACATTGCCTTGGTTTGTTACATGACTATCGTGATGGGGAAACTGGCTGGAAATAGTAATCACACCCCTCTGTTTTTAGTTAGAGTCTAATGAAGCTCTCATGTAGTTCTGTGACGTGTTTACCTCTTTTTTCAGGCCTCAGGAACTCTTCTATTTCCCTCCCCAGCACCCCGACCTGCCCTAATTTCTAGAGAACTCCAGGTTCGTGTGCGCAGGGTGTTGCCACAGGAATACTTGCGTTTTCTCTCCCGTCCTCCTCCTGTGACTTGGGCTTTGTGTTTGGCTTTTTTTTTTCCCCTTTCGATGATTAGTTGGTTAGGAGCTGAAGGAACTAGAAGGAAAGTGCTAGGTGTTTGGGTTTTTTTTAGGATCTGGGGTGAGGGAGACCAGCTTCTCTCTTCTGATGTGAGGTTAATGTTTCTTGCCCATGCGGGACATTGAATCCTCCCTGCCACCGTTGTCCTGGTGATGACTTTGGGGTTCCCATCTACATACATACGTGACCAGAAACACCTTAGACCACAGCTAAGTCCCTAGCTCCTTCAGATGGTTTTATAACTAGATTTTCACACACACAAACGTTACCTGCGTGGTCAACACACACACAGACACACATGCATCTGCCTTTCTACTCTGTTACCTGACTCCCCCTGACAAACACTGTCTCTCCCTCTCACACATTGTTTGGGAGGCGATCGTTGTCTTAGTCATCATCTGCCAGGGCCGTTGTCTCCTGACATTGTAGCCCCTTGGTACCCAGGGGCCAGTGAGCCGGAGGAGAACCGAGCGGTGAGAAGCAGAGGGACTGGGGAAGGCTCCTGCACTGTGACGTGGCTCTTTTTGGGCATTATTGCAAAGGCCAGTCCTCAGACTCCGGATTGCCTCTCTTGACCAGTTGTAAGTTAGGGTGGAGGTGTTCGTGGCTGCGAGGGATAGATGCTGCTACTCCTGCTGGGCTTTCCCTTTGGGAAAAAAGGTTTTATTTATAGTGTTGTGCTTCCAGGGAACACAGTCACGTGTGTGCACTGTACGTGCATGCGCACACACGCGTGTGCTCATTGTGTGTGTGTGGAAATCTGCTGGGCAAGTCAAAACCATAGAAGAGTTGCCTCCCATCTCTGGAATTTTCCAGAGATGCCTCCCACTTTTTAATTCCGCCACTACTGGAGAGCTAGTGTCTGCAGTCAGCCCGCAGGGTCTCTCTCAGTGTCTGTTTCTGGCTTACTCTTCCTGTCTCTGTCTTCCAGCCCCTGAACGTGTTCCCCCGGATGTGTCGTTTTTCACTCCCAGGACTGCTGTAGAGGGGGAGTCAGGATGCCATCTTCCCGTGAATAGTGCTCAGTAACAAACCAACCGCATTTTAGTTGGGCAGTGCCCCGACCCTCCCTCCAGACCCCTTCCAGATAAAACACGTCCCTTCCCCTACCATGCGTTTCTCAGTTTCCCTTTTTGTTTGTTGGATTGTTCTGCTGCCCCTACTCCTCGCCCTACCACCCTTGGGTCGTAATGTAAAATTCTTTTACCATGTCAAGAAATTATTAAAAATACAGGTACTTTGACCTCTTTCTAAAGCCGCAGACCCTGGTGCGATGCTCTGGTGGTTAGGGACATAACCGTGTTCGTGTGCGTGTGTACCTCATGTGACACTGCCAGCCCCCCCCCCCCCGTCGGGTGTCTTTTTACCAGTGGACCTTCCTCTTTCTCCTGGAATAATGGGAAGATTGAGACTCCTGCCTAGCAAGAGGCAAGGGTCAGTCCTTCATTTGTATTCAGTCTGAATTATGTGAAAGAGCTCTTCCCTAGTCTAAGCTGCTGTGTCCCAACCCTCAACAAGATCTCAGTTCCTTACTTGCTTCCTTCCCCGTGGTACCCATGAATTGCCAGTAGAGGCCGCTCTAGTTCTACGTGGGCAATCACTTGGTTCAAGGCTCACCCTACCCTGTGGTTTTCTTTACCTTATGCTAATTCTCCCCTCTGAATAATGTCTTAAATTTCTTGAGGAGATGCCAGGGGACTCTTGGTTCCAAATGACTTAGAGGGCTGTCTGGGACCCTAGCTCCCTCTGAAATAAAGTTTCCTCAACTTCCACCTTGTAAAGTAGCCTTCTGGTTTCCAATGATCCCCTCGTGGTCTCTGCAAAAAGAGATACATATGGTCTTGAACGGTGGAGGAACATCTGGTCTGTTCCGTCTCAGAGATAACCAGCAGCTCCCAGTTTTTTATGTCTGCCTGTGTCATGCTCTGTTAAGCACTTTACATGTATGACCACGTTTAGCCTTCAGAACCTTCTTTATAGGAGAGGACACAGACTCGTGGTAGTACCTCCCCTGAGGTCACGCCACTTAGCGTCCTGGGACTGGTACAGATCTTGTGCCCACGCCTTCACCACTTCTCCTTTCTCACTGCCCGGATAGAAGAGGCCTGAGCCTGCAGGTGAAGGGCTCGGCCAAGGCAGCTTCCAGAACACAGTGCTTCCTGCTGGGCCGTAGATCCGTGGGGTAGCGCACCTGCCAGGGGGTAGGGAAACGGACGCTCTGGTGGCTGCATTCAGCACACGGGACTCGAGTGGGCATCTGAGACTTGCATTCTTCCTCAGGCCCATTCTGTGTGCAAGGTAGAGTTTAGCGTTCCTTCCAGTGCCGTCCGGTCTGATGGTCTAAGTGATGGAAATGAACGCGGAGCACGGATCGGGCTACCGGCAGGAGTTCAGGGGCAAGGGAGATGCCATGCACGTGGAAGTAGGGCCGTGGGCCAAACCACAGAACAGAAAATTGGAACAGAATTATATAAATCAAGGTCAGAAATTTCCTGTTCAACCCACAGGGTGGAGTTTTCTCCATTCCTGTCCATCCGACTGAATATAAACCCTGATTTGATGTCAGCAGCTAGAGGAGCAGCTGTTAGGACTCTCGTTTCAGCTCTCAGCATTCATCATGAATGTCAAGGTGGCCCTCCTGTTCCTGGCACTGTCCCTCATCACCATCTTTGCCCTGACCTATGTATTGCTGACCGGCCACGGGGGCTCCAGCCAGCCTCCCCACTGCCCCTCTGTATCCCACAGTGCCCAGCACTGGACACACACTGGCCAGAGCCAGCTGTTTGCAGACCTGAGCCCAGAGGAGTTGACGGCTGTGGCGAGCTTTCTGACCCAGCAGCTGGGGCCAGGCCTGGTGGATGCAGCCCAGGCCCGCCCCTCGGACAACTGCATCTTCTCAGTGGAGCTGCAACTGCCCCCCAAGGCTGCGGCCCTGGCCCACCTGGACAGGGGGAGCCCCCCACCTGCCCGGGAGGCCCTGGCCATCATCATTTTTGGCGGACAACCCCAGCCCAACGTGAGTGAGCTGGTGGTGGGACCACTGCCCCACCCTTCCTACCTTCGGGATGTGACTGTGGAGCGTCACGGGGGCCCCCTGCCGTATCACCAGCGCCCCGTACTGACAACTGAGTATGCTCAGATGTGGAAGCATTTGAAAGAGGTGGAACTACCCAAGGCACCAGTCTTCCTTGCTTCAGTCTTCAACTACAATGGCTCCACTCTGGCACCTATACAGGCCACTCCTAGGGGCTTGCGCACAGGGGACCGTACTACCTGGATTGCCCTCCACCATAACATCTCAGGTGTTGGGATGTTCCTTCACCCAGTGGGGCTGGAGCTACTGCTGGACCACAGGGCCCTGGATCCTGCCCACTGGGCTGTCCAGCGGGTCTTCTACCTTGGGCGCTACTATGCAGACTTGGGCCAGTTGGAACGGGAGTTTAAGGCTGGCCGACTGGAAGTGGTTAGAGTTCCTCTACCCCTGCCAAATGGGGCTTCATCCCTAAGGCCCCGTGTCCCCCCAGGTCCTCTTCCCCCTCTTCAGTTCTCACCCCAGGGCTCCCAGTACAGTGTACGAGGGAACCTGGTGGCGTCCTCCCTCTGGACATTTACCTTTGGCCATGGGGTGTTCAGTGGCATGAGGATTTTCGATGTTCGGTTCAAGGGCGAGCGAGTGGCCTATGAAGTCAGTGTCCAGGAGTGTCTGTCTGTCTATGGTGCTGATTCACCCAAGACAATGATGACCCGATACTTGGATAGCAGCTATGGACTCGGCAGTCACAGCCGGGGCTTGGTGCGGGGTGTGGACTGCCCCTATCAATCTGCAATGGTGGACGTCCACGTGTTAGTGGGCAAAGGGGCAGTCCAGCTGCTCCCAGGGGCTGTGTGTGTGTTTGAGGAGGCCCAAGGACTACCCCTTCGAAGGCATCACAATCACCTCCAGAGTCATTTCTACGGTGGTCTGGCCAGCTCAGCCCTCGTAGTCAGGTCTGTGTCGACCGTCGGCAACTATGACTACATTTGGGACTTTGCGTTGTACCCAAATGGGGCGCTCGAAGGGCGGGTCCACGCCACGGGCTTTGTCAACACAGCTTTCCTGAGTGGCGGGGAGGAAAGCCTCCTCTTCGGCAACCGCGTGGGGGAACAGGTGCTGGGCACGGTGCACACCCACGCCTTCCACTTCAAGCTGGACCTGGATGTAGCAGGTGAGTGTCCAGGAAAGGAGGACTTCAGGGTGGAGCGGAGGGAAGGGAGACCCCCCCTCCCACTGCCCTGCCCCAGATCAAGCTGGAACAGTCTGGAGGGTGGCGTTCCAGCTGCGTAATTCACTGTGGCACCAGAGCAGGGGCTGACCACAGTGTATTCAGCTGCGGTCGGCACGAGCTGATGGCTCACTGGTGGGCAGAGGAGGGGGCTTCCCTGACAAGCTCTGACCACCCGGCCCCTCTGAGGTGCTGTTGTTCTGAAATTAAACATAATGGCTCTACCTGCCTTAGCCTCGAATGACGATGGGTGGTGAGTTTGCCCCAGAGCTGTGTGGGCTGGGGGTTAGGGCTCTGAGTTCTTCCTGATTCCGAAGGGCAGTGGAGGTCGGGAAAGCCGGGGCCTGAGTGGTGGTAGGAGGCAGTCCATCCTACAGAGCTTTGCAGAGTGGGGCTGGAGCCAGGCATGAGAAGGCAGTGGGGAGACTAGCTGGGAGTTGCTGCTCCACGGGGGTTCAGACAGGCCGGGACATGGGATAGTGGCCCTGTCCTCCTAGGGAGGGCCATCCCGTCCCTGCCTGCACACGTCGTCACGACGACAAGGAAGGCATGTGGTGGGCTGCTGCCAGCGTACAAGGGGAGTTCTCTCGTAGGGCTCAGAGCACAAAGGGGACCTGCTGCTCCTGACACGCGTTTGTTGGGGGTAGAAAATAACCAGCTTAGCAAATCACAGACAGGCCCAGAAAGGAAATGAGAAACCCACCAGGCCCTCTCCATTTTACAGTTGGGAAAGTAAGGAGGGTTGGGGGAGACGGGGGATGAAGGGATTGCCCAAGTGTAAAGTGCTACAACAGGGGAGTCAAACTCACTTTCACGGGGGCCACGTCTGGCTCGCGGTTGCCATCAAAGGGCCGAGTGTCATTTTGGGACTGTAAACGTGACTGCTCCTTAACTGTTAAGTGAGAGCTCGGCACTGCTGCCGGGTAGAAACAAGGTGCTGGGTGGGATAAAACAAGGTGGAGGGCCGGGTTTGGCCCTCGGGCCTTGTGTGTGCTATAACTAAGGATTTTTCTGGTAGAACATTCTCTTGTCTTGGATCTAAAGACAGGCGGTTGAGTGTGTATGGTGTGGGGGCGGAGGGGAGGAAGAACTAAGAGAATGGCATGATTGAAATGGCGTATTAACAGTTCTTTGACACATTTGGAATATGACTTTTCTAATTTGAACTTTCTCTTCAGCATTTCTGATATTAAAGAGCCTTTAAAATCAAGTCACATTTCTTGGATCCCCGGTGGGTATAGCACAGGTCGGCGCCGTGGGCCAGAGGCTATGCCAGGCCCCCACTGCCCGGGACAGCCAGCAGGGGCACCGGCTTCAGTCGAGGCCCCCCTCCCACCCCACCCCATGCCAGCTGCCTTCATATAGATCACATGTAAAGGAACTGACTGTGCAAACATGCCGAGTGTATGATCGAGTGCCGAGTGGGCGGGGTAATGAGTGCAGGTTGCTATTGCTGTGAGTTTTAAGGAGTCCCAGACAAGTTACAGATACAAATCTCACTTCTGAACAAAAGGTAAAAGTGGTCCGCATCTTGCTGAGAAAGGAAGCAAATCCCAGAGCTGTGAGGAACGTGCAGAGTACTGTGGAAGGGGACTGGGTTTTTCCAGCCAGCTTCTCCAAGACAAATGTCTCTTTCATAGTTTACAAGAATGTAACTAGGCCACCTGTGTGTGCTTTTCCATTTAAGGAGCTCAGCCATCGAAGAGACTGTATTGTGCCAAGTGTAGAGATTCAGAAAATGAGAGTCAAAGAAGCAAACAGTTGGTTTGAGGGTAGACCAGTGGTAACAGAACTTTATGTAGCAATGGAACTACGCTACACGTGCATTGTCCAGTACATTAGCCACTGGCACGCGTGGCTATTAAGCACTTGAAATGTAGCTAATGTGATCGAGGAACTGAGTTTTTAATTTAAATGCAAGTAGTCACTTGTGACTTCTTGGACCTGTATTGGACAGGGCAGGGTCGAAGGAGATGGGCTGGTGCCCAGTCCAAGACCTCCAGGCTCCCAGCTTGGAGCATTCCCTGGTGAGCGCTGCTGCCCTTTGACAGGCCATTGTGGTGGACGTCACGGGGGAGATGAACCTGTCTCGCCTGGTGTGGAACTCCTCTCCCTCCCTCGTTCTGGCAGGGCTGAAAAACTGGGTGGTGGCTGAAGACGTGGCGTTTAAACCCGTGGCAGCTCCCTGGAGTCCAGAGCACCAATTGCAGCGCCCACAGCTGACCCGGCAGGTCCTGGAACGGGAGGACCTGACAGCTTTTTCCCTGGGCAACCCCCTTCCTCGCTATCTTTACCTGGCCAGCAACCAGACTAACGCTTGGGGTCACCAGCGCGGGTACCGAATACAGATCCACAGCCCCCTTGGCGTACACATCCCCCTGGAGAGTGACATGGAGAGGGCGCTCAGCTGGGGGAGGTGAGGAGGGCACCGGGCACGCGGGCCGGGAGGGAAGGACTGGTCCCTTGTCCCATCCCAGCTCTTCAAGGCCCCAACTCACCATCCTTGCTTACCATCCACCCCTGGACCTCCTCCCAGATCCCAGTAGATATGGGACAGGAGATGACCTCGCACACAGCCCGATCCAGAGGACTCCTGGGACAGTGAGGATCTTTGACATTTTCTGACTCCCCCCTTTTACAACACTCCTGGTCAGATACCAGCTCGCGGTGACCCGGAGGAAAGAGGAGGAGTCACAGAGCAGCAGCATCTATTACCAGAATGACATCTGGACACCCACTGTTGTCTTTGCTGACTTCATCGATAATGAGACGCTCTTAGGAGAGGTTGGTGGCTCTAGAGACAGGAAAGGGGCTCCTCTGTGTCTGGCGTCTTGGCTGCCCACACGTTGGCAGGAGATTGGAGGGAATGGTCTGTTTGCCAGCTCTCAGATTCAGGAGCCAAGGAGTTCTCTGATGGCCAACACATTAGGCCTGGGACGCCGACCACCCCACGGCCTCTCACGTGGACCACCATGCAGGCCTAGGGTGGGAGGAGATGGAAGCAGGGCTGAGGCTGGAGGTCAGGGACTGTGGCTGAGGGGGGGCTCTCTGGGTCTCCCCTCCAAAGTCCTTCAGCTCCTTCCTCTTCCTTCAGGACCTGGTGGCCTGGGTTACAGCCAGCTTCCTGCACATCCCCCATGCTGAGGACATCCCCAACACTGTCACTGTGGGGAACAAAGTTGGCTTCTTGCTCCGACCCTATAACTTCTTCGATGAGGACCCCTCCATCTTCTCCCCCGGCAGCGTCTACTTTGAGAAGGGCCAGGATGCCGGGCTCTGCAGTGTCAACCCTGCGGCCTGCACCCCCCACCTGGCAGCCTGTGTCCCGGACTTGCCCCCTTTCTCTTACCAAGACTTTTAACCCCGGGGGTGCGGTGGGGCATGGTGGGGGTAGGTGGGAGGGATGTGCTAGGGCGCGTATGTCCCTTCCTCTCTCTTCCCAATTTCTGCTCCCCTGGCTCCCACCCTCTTAATGTTTCTGAGGAAACAGCTTCTTCCCACACTAAACCCCCATGTATCCTTTCAGTTAATTCATAGGCCTAGGTTTTTTTAATGATGAATTTATACAAATTATATTATTATTAAAATATTCAAGCAAAAACGCCACAAGTCATACCACTCAGAAATAGCTAGTGTTCACATTTGGTGAACATTATACCAGATATTTCTTCATCAGGTGCATCGAAATGGAAGAGTAAATAGAACTTTGTAAAAATAAATGGTATGTGCAATTTATAATAAAAGATTTTTACTTGAATTTCCTTTATGTCACTTTTGAAGTAGCTAGAGTTCCCCAGAGAAAATTACAGATTCTGACCAAGGAATTTAAGAGGAGAGAGGACAAGGGTAACAGGCCTGGCCAAGGAATGCCACTTGGGAAACTGAAGGGCTGGGGGCGAGTGTCCTTGGAGACAGCAACACTTCCAAGTCACAGGAAAGGGAACATCTGGCCCCGGGAAAGTGGGGGTTAAGGGAAGAAGTGGAGATGAGGGGCTGCAGACCCCGCCCCTTGATGGTGGTACCCTCCTGTGCTCGGGCTGGCCAGCTACATTATTTTGAAATCCCTCTCCCTTCCCCTACCCTCTCTCTCCCTGATTCCAACCCTGACCCAGGCAGCAGAGTCCAGTTTGGAGCCTGGAAGACAAAGCCTTGTAAGGTCTGTGGAAATCACTGCTGCCCTGTGTCAGGCCCGCCCTCAAGCCCCGGCCAGCCCCACCCCCCTGGCCTCAGCCTTTCTGGTCTTTCCCACCCTCAGTCGCCTATGCCTCTGAATACTGGGAACCTAAACCAGAGTCCAGGAGGCCCCGATACAGGAGCGAAGAGTGACCTCTTCTGTGACCCGAGAATACATTTCTCCGCTCTGGTTCCGTCCTGTGTCTCTCCGACAAGACAATGAATCAGAAGACAACCCTGGTCCTCCTCGCTCTGGCGGTCATCACCATCTTTTCATTGGTGTGTGTCTTGCTGGTTGGCAGGGGAGGCGATGGGGGTGAACCCAGCGTGTCTCCTCTCTGTGCCTCCGTATCTCCCAGTGCCCAGCACTGGACACACACTGGCCAGAGCCAGCTGTTTGCAGACCTGAGCCCAGAGGAGTTGACGGCTGTGGCGAGCTTTCTGACCCAGCAGCTGGGGCCAGGCCTGGTGGATGCAGCCCAGGCCCGCCCCTCGGACAACTGCATCTTCTCAGTGGAGCTGCAACTGCCCCCCAAGGCTGCAGCCCTGGCCCATCTGGACAGGGGGAGCCCCCCACCTGCCCGGGAGGCCCTGGCCATCATCTTCTTTGGCAGACAACCCCAGCCCAATGTGAGTGAGCTGGTGGTGGGACCACTGCCCCACCCTTCCTACCTTCGGGATGTGACTGTGGAGCGTCACGGGGGCCCCCTGCCCTATCACCGGCGCCCCATGCTGTTCCGAGAGTACCTGGATGTAGAACACATGATCTTCAACAGAGAGCTGCCCCAGGCTGCTGGTCTCCTCCACCACTGCTGCTTCTACAAACGCCAAGGAGGGAACCTGGCGATGATGATCACAGCACCCCCGGGTTTGCAGTCAGGGGACCGAGCTACCTGGTTTGGCCTCTTCTACAATATCTCAGGCGCTGGGTTATACCTGCACCCCGTGGGGTTGGAGCTGCTGGTAGACCACAAGGCCCTGGACCCTGCCCGCTGGACTGTCCGGAAGGTGTTCTTCCAAGGCCGCTACTATAAGAGTCTGGCTCAGCTGGAGGAGCAGTTTGAGGCTGGCCTGGTGAATGTGGTGCTGGTCCCAGACAATGGCACAGGTGGGTCCTGGTCCCTGAAGTCCCAGGCGTCCCCAGGTCCGGCTCCCCCTCTGCAGTTCCATCCCCAGGGCCCTCGCTTCAGTGTCCAGGGGAGTCGAGTGTCCTCTTCCTTGTGGACTTTCTTTTTCGGCCTTGGAGCTTACAGTGGCCCGAGGATCTTCGACATCCGCTTCCAGGGAGAACGGCTAGCTTACGAGATCAGCCTCCAAGAGGCCTTGGCCATCTATGGTGGCAACTCTCCTATAGCAATGCTGACCCGCTATATCGACGGCAGCTTTGGCATGGGCAAGTACGCCACACCCCTGACCCGTGGGGTGGACTGCCCCTACCTGGCCACCTACGTGGACTGGCACTTCCTTTTGGAGTCCCAAGTCCCCACGACACTACGAGATGCCTTTTGTGTGTTTGAACAGAACCAGGGTCTCCCCCTGAGGCGACACCACTCAGATATCTTCTCCCATTATTTTGGGGGCCTCACAGAGACAGTGCTGGTCATCAGATCTGTGTCCACCTTGATCAATTACGACTACGTGTGGGATATGGTCTTCCACCCCAATGGAGCCATAGAAGTCAAGTTCCACGCCACTGGCTACATCAGCTCAGCATTCCTCTTCGGTGCTGGCCGACGCTACGGGAACCAGGTTCGGGAGCACACGCTGGGCACTGCCCACACCCACAGTGCCCACTTCAAGGTGGATCTGGATGTAGGAGGTAAGACATCCTGGAGGGGGGAAGTATTCCAGAAGAAGGGCTCAAGTGTCGTCTCCACTTGTTTTGGACTTACGGCGGTTATGCCGGAAAGGAAGGTGTGAGAACGAGTACGTGGTTTCGGAGTTCATGCTTCCTCTTTGGCTGGATAGGAGAGTTGGATGCTGAATTTTATTCAGGTCACTGGCTGGGGCACCGCCTCCAGCGCCCCCTCCACATTACCCCATCAGGAAATCTTGGGAAATGGCCAAGCTCAGGGAGGAGGCCCTCCCGGCCAGCGGGGTTGCCTTTGCTCTCCTCCCTCTTGCACTCACATGGGGCCTCTTTCAGGGAGGCAGCCATCTGGTTTTCAGTTCTTGTCGCTGTGTCCGGCCGGCGGTGCTGCTGTTCTGGAGGATCTGTTTGCATTCTGCCGAGTCCCTGGCACATACAGGCCAGTCATGGAACACTCCAGCTTGGACATTTTCTAGGAAGATGGACCCTCCTCTTTCCTGATTTTCTGTCTCTCTCTGGATTTAAGCGTGAGGGATAAAATGGACACGATGGAGTGTCCCAGAGAGTCCCTGGTGGTCACAGAGAGCGCCAAGGAGACACGGCGTCTTAGAATCTTTTTACTTATCTTTGAGCTGATCACCAGATTTGGTTGTTTCGTTTTGTTTTCTGTTCTGCCTCTGAAATAAACTCCTCACTGGGGCCCCCTGTCCTGCCCCCATTGGGGCCACTTCCTGCCACCTCCTCTCTTCCTCCGCCTGGATCCCGGTCTCCTCTGTGCCCTGAGGGACCTAGCAGCCCAGGCCAGCCTGCCCCTCATGCAGGTCTCCCTTCCCCCACCACCTGTGGGGTCTCATGCACAGAGCAGCCTACAAGGCCCTTCTCTGAAGAATGCAGCGCCATCCTGCCTTTCGGATTCTTCCCTGTGCACTGCTGTAGCCACACTCACGCCGACTATCCCCGGGCACACACAGCGCATGGGCAGTTAGGCTTCTCTGCTCTTGCTCATGTTTTGCCCCTGTCTAGGACATCCTGCTATGTCATCTCCACTGGTGACATCCTGTAAGGCCAGGCAGAACATTTGCCCAGGATGGCCTTTTCCTGCCTGCACCTCTATCCCTAGAACCTTAAACTTGAATGTGCCCCTCGCACATTGAAGGCCAGTGAGGGCACTGCCTTCTGCATCCTCCATGAGAGCAAAAGGGTGAGACTGATGTTTTGTTCATCTGAGTGTCCCCGGGGCCGAGCCTGGGCCCCTCCCCTAATGAGATAAATTAATGAGCAAATGAAGTAATAAATGAAATCCTTGATAAAATATTTTACAGGTCAATGGGTTTGGCTTAAAGATTGAGGATATTTGGGGGGAGAGGGAAGGGAAGTAGGGGGAGCACTCGGTTCTGGGCTTCTCTTTGGGCCCCAGGCTGAAGCCAGGTGGGTGATTGGCTCTCCCTCCCAGCCTTTCTCTCTCCTCTGTCCCCCCTCCCCGGCAGGACTGGAGAACTGGGTCTGGGCTGAGGACATGGTCTTTGTCCCCACGACTGTACCCTGGAGCCCAGAGCACCAGATACAGAGGCTGCAGGTGACCCGGAAGCTGCTGGAGACAGAGGAGCAGGCCGCCTTCCCCCTGGGAAGTGCCTCCCCTCGCTACCTGTACCTGGCCAGCAACCAGAGCAACAAGTGGGGTCACCCTCGGGGCTACCGCATCCAGATCCGCAGTTTTGCTGGAGAGCCGCTGCCCCGGAACAGCTCCATGGAGAGAGCCATCAGCTGGGGCAGGTGAGTGGAGTCAGAGAGAGGCTGGGAGACGAGAGTGAGGAGGAAGCATTGGAAACTCAGGTCAACTGTATGCAAAGTGAGATAAGAGCTCCAGAAGGATGTCTTGTTTATCTAAAGGCACAGGCCATGGGCAGTGGGTGCATCTTCCCTCGGAGGACCAAAGCTCAGGGCTGAGAACCGTTCTCTCCTTTGGATGGGGGGAGGGCCATGCTGTGGCAGAGAGTGAACAAGAGGCCCTGGAACAGTGGTGGATGACTCACCAGGGTGGCATCAGAGTCACTGAGTGGACAAGATGGGCAAACTGAGGTCCACATGTTCCGTTCCCTTCCATCATTATCAGGCCGCAGGATAAGGTTCATGACCTTAGAGGCCTGACCAGTGCCTCCCTAGGTACCAGCTGGCCGTGACCCAGCGGAAGGAGGAGGAGCCCAGCAGCAGCAGCATCTTCAATCAGAATGACCCTTGGGTCCCCACCGTGGACTTCACTGACTTCATCAACAATGAGACCATTGTTGGAAAGGTCAGCTGATTGGGAGGGCCAGTGAGTGGAGTGGGGACACAAAGATGAGCTCCACCTTGTCTTGGGGACCCCTGAAAACCATCTGGTCTCCTCAGGGGTGGAGCTAACTCCTGCCTCTGTACTTGTGTGGATCTGGTCATTACCTCTTGAGGGAATCTTCCCAAGCTGGAAGTTCATTTCCAGATGCTGGCTGAGGTCCCAGCAGATCCTCGAGACCCTACAGCCCTTTAAGTCTCAGCTTCATGGACTGAGTCCTTCTCAGGTCCCAGGACTCAAGAAGGGCTGGAGGGCACTGGGGAAGACCACCTGTCTTGTATCTAAAGCCCATCCCTGGTGTAACCACTAAAGGATCAATCTCTGAATGTTGGCCATTTCTGCCTCCCAAGCCCTGATCTTCCCTTCTCCATCTGCCTTCTACCGGCTCTGGCTGGGGAATTCTCTGGGGGTTAAGGGGGAAGGAGCCGATGTAGGCTGTGGCATCCTCGTTCCTCTGGGGGTGGAGAGGCGGATGGAGATGTGAGAGGAGTGTCACAGATAGGAGAACACAGGCTGGGTCAGGGAGGCAGGTGTTGCTCCCGGCGCGAATGTGAAACTCATTGTGCTTTGGCTTCTGCACCAGTAGGAAAAGCATTTAAAGACTGAGGATCCGTTTGAGGAAAGGGGGACTAACACGGCAAATCCTTACAAACAAGGCTGCTGTCGGGGGCAGGCGGGTCTTGGCAGAGTCAGGCCTCACAACCCTCTTCCTTCTCCCCTGCTAGGACCTGGTGGCCTGGGTGACAGCTGGTTTCCTGCACATCCCACATGCAGAGGACATTCCCAACACAGTGACCGTGGGGAACGGTGTGGGCTTCCTCCTCCGACCCTACAACTTCTTTGACCAGGACCCCTCCTTCAATTCTGCGGACTCCATCTATTTCCGGGGGGACCAGGACTCTGGGGACTGTGAGGTCAACCCCCTGGCTTGCCTCCCCAAGGCTGCTGGCTGTGTCCCCGACCTCCCTGCCTTCTCTCACGGGGGCTTCTCTCACAACTAGGTGGTCCCTGGGATGGGGATTGTGTCCAGGGGCCCCAGGGCCAGGGTCTGTGAAGGCAGTGGACACTGGGTCGGACAGACTGGTGCCCTCTTCTCCTTCCTCAACCCCTGAGGTTCCTGCTCCTCCCCTAAGGTCAGCTCCTATCATCACCCTCCCTCTTTTCCTCTCTCTACTGGAAGCATCCTGAGCCTGTGATGCTGTCAGTGGGGGGAAGCAGGAGAGACCCAGCTTTGTTGCCATCGTACCTGCTGGGTGTCCGTCCCAGAGAGGAAAGGAATGGCCAGCCAGGAGCTTGGAGCGATAGCCAAGCTTTTCCCCAGAAGACTCCCTTTTTTCCTTTCTGGCTTTCCCAGATATTTCTAGTCTGTCTCCAGGTCCCTCCTGGCCTCCCCAGTCCCCGTCTTGAGCGATGCAGACAGGTCTCTGCAATGGGGACGGTGTGCAGTGTCTGGATGAGCTGCCAGGGGCTTCTTTGCCCATATTCCCTCTTAGCCAAGTCCTCCTCCTTCTTTCCCTCTTGCTCTCAGCTACCACATCCTCCTCCCATTCTTACTCTTTTCTTACTTCCTGGGATTTTCCTCCCAGGCATGCAAATGAGCTAGGGCTTGGTCCCTGGGGAGTCTGGATTGGGGGTGGATGTACAAATAGGGCGAGTTTGCAAAAGACAGAAACGTCTCCTTCCCCCCGAGGATTGGTTAAGTACATTTTGTTACAGCCTCACAATGTAATATTATGCAGCTATAAATATGTTTGTAACTTTTTTGTATAATAATAGGAAATAATCTTCCAATGAAAAGGCAAGACGCAGAAGTATGCATGATGCGCTTTCCATTTGTGGTTTAGGAGAGAGGAAAATATAAATATAGATTTGCCTATAAGTGCTTATTCGGAAGAAATGGCACCACTGGTTGCCCCTGGAGAGGGAACTGGGAGGTTGGGGGCCAAGGAGGGAGGGGATTTGGCACTGTACGCCCTTTTGTATATTTTGAATTTTGAACCATGGGACTGTATTACTCATTCAAATTAAATAATAAATGGACCTAAACAGGACCTGACTTTTTTTTAACTGACAAAAAAACCTTCTCTGGAACCTTCATTCTCTCCCAGTTCCCCTCAGGACCCAGCTCCCCAGATCACGGTGGCCTCCTGCGTGTCACGGAGCAGCGAAAGGAGGTGGCGGCTTTGCTCTCTGCACCTGCGACCTTCTGGAGGCAGGTTTTCTGGAGCTGAGGGTTGTCGGCTGCCAGGTTAATTCCACAGCCAGTTTTCCAGGCCCCCTGACCTCTATTCTAACCTGGCCTATCAGTCTTGCTCGTGGTGTGGGGGAGGGGGTTCTCTGTTACACCCGGCAGCCCGTGCTCCCCCTCCAACTTCCCCTGGGCCCCACACCCTGCACCCCCTCCAGTGACTCCGAGTGCTCACAGGGCTGACCTGCTTCACCCAACCTTTTGGCCTCCAGCGCCTCCCTCGAGTTCACAGCATTAGTCTCCAGCATCCCTGGGCCTGCCAGTCAGGCTCTGGTTGGTGGAGTGAGTAGGAGAGTGACTGGGAACAGGGTCTGCCTGGCCCCGAACTAAAGGAAGAAGTGAAGGCACCTGGGTGGAGAGGTGTGGGCAAGTTAGTTCACTTACAGCTGTGTAGCCAGCAGAACGTTTCCATCCCGATGAAGAACAGCCCCTTTCTGCCCCTGTCGCTTCCCCTTTCCACCTGTGTTAGCTCCAAAACCAGCCCCTCCCCCACCTCGTTTCCCAACCCTGACCCTGAGGGTTTGTTTGATTTGGAACAGAGGACAGAGACTTATGTGGGCCATGAAAGTCCAGGTTCCTGCCTCAGCCCCACCTCCCAAGCCTGTCCGGACCCCTGGCCCCTGCCAGCGTCACCTCCACCCGCACCCAACCCTCTGCCTGGCCCATGGTCTTCAATGAACCCTTCCTGCCTCTTACCAAGATTTACTGGCACCACAGGATGTTCCAATTTCACCTTGTTTTTCCCCTGCTGCAGCCCTGGGCTCAATCAACCATTTCTACACGGAACTCTCGTGCCTTTTATTGTGGAGCAATACTTAGAAGCCAAGATCTGGGGCCCAGGTGAGCGCGATGTGACTGGGATCTCATTGCTTTCAGCCTCTCTCATTGCATTTAGCTGGGATACATATGCGTACGTTCTAACTGACACGCACAGGGTTTTAATCTCTGCATCTAAGCAGTAACCACTCTTCAGTTTTTCATTTTAATTTTTTTTTCAGTGACTCCCCCAATATTTCCAGTACCGGCCTGGCACCAAACATAGTTGTTATAACATTATTGACTATGCTGTATCTTACATCCATGTGATATTGACTATGCCGTATCTTACATCCATGTGACTATTTTTTTAAAGATCTTATTTATTTATTTTTAGGGAGAAGGGAAGGAAGGGAAAGAAACATTGATATGTGAGAGGTTGATCACATTGATCAGCTGCCTTCCACCCCCACACTGGGACTCGGCCTGCAACCCAAGCATGTGCCCTGCCTGGGAATCGAACCAGACACCTTTAGGTTCACAGGCCAGCTCTCAAGCCACTGAGCCACACCAGCCAGGGCCCCTATGACTATTTTGTAACTGCCAGTTTGTACCTCTCAATCCCTTCCTCTTTTTCACCCAGTCTCCCCAACCCCCAACCCCTCAGGCAATCAGAGCAAGGATGACTGTTCAAACACTGGAACTTGTCTTCAATTGTCACCTGTGGGTGAAAACCCCAAGGTGTGGACTAGGTTTGCTTAATCAGTCTCTTCTCTTCTGGACCTGGAGAGCATGGAGCCAGTGTTTGCCACGGTTTGGTTTGCTGCTCTTTGGTCTCAGATCATTCATGTTGACACCTCACGTGGGACCTAGTTAGACTCCAACAAATCACTCAAACTCCCAAATCCAGAGGACAGCCTGCCTCTGGCGCTGCTCTTACCTCCTCACCAAACCTCCAACCACAGGAAGCCCCCCGCCCCAAGCGGCAGCAGCACTGGGGCCACTCCCTGCTGGTCTCCTGCATGTGCAGACACGTGGTCAGTAGAGCCGGACCAGGACCCGGGGCCCAGCGCTGCCACAGTACTACCGTGTGTGTTCAGTGATGAGCCAGGGCGCGTTATTTAAGTGCTCTAAGCCACGTTGTCCCGCCTGTAAAATGGGGACAACTGTAGTTCCTCCTTCACAGGGCCATTACACAGGCAAGTCATCCAGACCTCTGAAGTCTCCGTGTGCTGCCTATGCACAGCGCCTTCAGGTTCAATGCACATGAGCTACAGCTGCTACTATCTTCACGACAGGGAAGTTCTGGCGAAGCCAGTGGGCATCCGAGGGGAGGCGCAGACCCCTTCCTCGGGTCAGAAAGGTCCGACTCCGCACATCACCGGCCAGGCACCTGCAACCTCAGGTAAACCACCTTTTCTTGCAGCCCCTCAAGAAGGTCAGGGAAGGCCCAGTCACCAGGCCTCTGAGACTGTTATTTGAGATGACAGGAGGGAGGAAGACTTTCTTGAAATCTCTGGATCACGGATGTCTTGGAAGAGGGAAGGGAAGTAGGGGCAGCACTCGGTTCTGGGCTTCTCTTTGGGCCCCAGGGTGAAGCCAGGTAGGTGATTGGCTCTCCCTCCCAGCCTTTCTCCCTCCTCTGTCCCCCATCCCCGGCAGGACTGGAGAACTGGGTCTGGGCCGAGGACATGGTCTTTGTCCCCACGACCGTACCCTGGAGCCCAGAGCACCAGATACAGAGGCTGCAGGTGACCCGGAAGCTGCTGGAGACGGAGGAGCAGGCCGCCTTCCCCCTGGGAAGTGCCTCCCCTCGCTACCTGTACCTGGCCAGCAACCAAAGCAACAAGTGGGGTCACCCTCGGGGCTACCGCATCCAGATCCGCAGTTTTGCTGGAGAGCCGCTGCCCCGGAACAGCTCCATGGAGAGAGCCATCGGCTGGGGCAGGTGAGTGGAGGGGTGTCGGAGAGGCTGCGGGCAATGGGTTGTAAGAGAGGCCCTGTGATGCTGGGAACCCAGGTTCTCCCAGCTGCTCTGGACGTGCATTCACACTTATACACACACACACACACACACACATACACACACACACACACACAGACACATACACACACAGAAACAGTCCTGTGGCCGCAACTTTCAACCACTTAGTACGAGGCCTACTGATTGGATGGATGAATGGAGAGATTCGTGCGGAATCAAACACAATAAAATGTTAAAGGTACAGTCTGCGTTGTGGGTATGTGCGTGAGTGTTCACTACACGATTCTTTCAGATTTTCTGCAGGTTTAAAACGTTCACAGTAAAGGTTGGAGGAAGAAACAGAGTAAGAGAGGAGCACAGATCTGAGGGGTTATTCCCTGCAGTCTGGGCGTCTGAGATTATGAAATTGACCTAAAACGGGAATGAAGCCGTGTCCATGAATTTGCCTCCAGGGTGCAGGCTGTGGCCTAGGTGAATGCATGTGCAGCATTAGGACCTGAAGTCTGAACAACGGGCCAGTGACGTTTGAGATACAGGACGCTGAACAAATGTGGGAACTCTGCGAGAGAGTCAGTCAGACAGACAGAGAGACAGAGAGGGAGACAGGAAGTGAAGAGCAATGAAGTTCACTGCCCCGAGACCGTCGTGCTTATGTTTCCTCTCTGTTCCCTCTTCAGGGCAGCTTCAGATAGTAGGACGGGTTGACGACCTTGTGGGTCCACTGCAGATCTCCTGTAGATACCAGCTGGCCATGACCCAGCGGAAGGAGGCGGAGCCCAGCAGCATCAGCATGTACAATTTGAATGACCCTCGGACACCCACCACGGACACCCACCACGGACTTCACTGACTTCATCAACAATGAGACTGTTGCCAGGCAGGTCCGTTAGGGCGAGATGGAGGGAGCAAGGACAAGCCACTTCACTCTCTCCCAAGTCAGGGTCCTCCAGGATCTTTAGAACCTGAAGGTTTAAGAAACGAAGACACAAAACTAAGAAACAAAGCTTTACGATTTCATATTTCCCGGGTTAGTGAGCTGAATCCTTACAAACAAGGCTGCTGTCGGGGGCAGGCGGGTCTTGGCAGAGTCAGGCCTCACAACCCTCTTCCTTCTCCCCTGCTAGGACCTGGTGGCCTGGGTGACAGCTGGTTTCCTGCACATCCCACATGCAGAGGACATTCCCAACACAGTGACCGTGGGGAACGGTGTGGGCTTCCTCCTCCGACCCTACAACTTCTTTGACCAGGACCCCTCCTTCAATTCTGCGGACTCCATCTATTTCCGGGGGGACCAGGACTCTGGGGACCGTGAGGTCAACCCCCTGGCCTGCCTCCCCAAGGCTGCTGGCTGTGCCCCCGACCTCCCTGCCTTCTCTCACGGGGGCTTCTCTCACAACTAGGTGGTCCCTGGGATGGGGATTGTGTCCAGGGGCCCCAGGGCCAGGGTGTGTGGGAAGGGGAAGCAGTGGGTGGGCCCTGGACCAGGAAGCCTGGTCTCACACTAAGATCCTTCCCTCCCCCACCCCCGCCCCCAAGGTCCTCCCTCCCATCAACCTTCTTTGCATCCCCCTCCTTACTGGGAGCTTCCTGAGCCCACATGCGTGACACAGGGGGGTCTCAGCTTTGTTGTCCCTAGACCTGCTGCATTTCTGTCCCAGAGGGGAGGGGAATGGCCAGCCGGAGCTGAAGTAATGGCCAAACTATGACCCAGAAGGCTTGTTTTTTTCCTAACAGTTTTGTAATGTTATCTTTTTTACAATGAGATATAATTCACATGCCATAAAATTTACCCTCTTTTTTTAAATGTTTTTTAAAAGATTTTATTTATTTATCTTTAGAGGGGAAGGGAAAGAAAGAAGGAGAGAAATATCAATGTATGGTTGCCTCTCATAGTCCCCCGCTGGGAACTGGCCTGCAACCCAGAAATGTGCCCTGACTGGGAATTGAACCACAACCCCACGCTCAATCCACTGAGCTGCACCAGCCAGGGCAAAATTCACCCTCTTAATGTGTAAAATATAGTGGCCATTAATTCCAGAACGTTTTCCTCACCCCAGCAAGACATCTGTAGCAGTCACTTCCTATTTCTCCTCCAACGCCTTCCCAGCGCTAGGCAACCACCACGCTTTCTGTCGCCGTACATGTGCCTGGGTTCTGGACGTTTTATATAAATAGATCCATACGGCGTGTGGTGTCTCGCGATTGGCTTCTTTCAGCACCATGTTTTTGATGCAACCACTGTGTCACATGAAACTACTTCAGTCCTTGATGGCCGAAGGGTATTCTGTTGTGTGACTGTTGCCACATTTTGTTTATCTGTTCATCAGTTGAAGGACTTGTGGACTCTTTCCACTTTTTGGTTATTACGGATAATGCTGCTGGGAACCGTCTTGTACTAGTTTTCATGTGGACATACGTTTTCAGTTTTCTTGGGTGCAAATCTGGGAGTGGAATTTGTAGGTTTTATGTTTAACTTTTTGAGGAACTGACAGACTGGTTTTTTTTTTTTTTAAGATTTTATTTATTTTTAGAGGGGAAGGGAGGGAGACAGAGAGGGAGAGAAACATTGGTGTGAAAGATGTTGATTGGTTGCCTCTCTCTCGCCCCCAACCAGGGGCCTGGCCTGCAACCCAGGCCCATTTGGCCCAACTGGGAATCAAACCAGTGACCCATCAGTCTGCAGGCCTGCGCTCAGTCCACTGAGCCACACCAGCCAGGGCCTCCAGACTGTTTTCCACAGTGACTGCACCATGCTTTTTATTGTGGTTAAAACATAGGTGAAATTTACCATTGGGCCATTTTTAAATGCACAGGTCAGTGGCATCGGGTGCATTTGGAACTTTTCCAGGCCCTGCTCGGCTCCTCCTCTGTCCCAGGCCTCAAATCTGAAGGTGACGCGTGTAGAGACCAACTGTTTTCTCAGGCCTCAGGGCGGGGCCCCATCCTGGCCTGCGTCCCAGGCCTTAGGAAGGTGCCTCTCTTCATCCCACGTCATCCTGGCACATTCCTTCTCTGTTCCTTCTTCCTCCTCTTCCTCTTGCCACTTCACCTTCCACTCCCTGGTCTTCCTTCCGAGGTCCCAGGGGAATGCCCCTGCTGCCTCAGGTCCCATAATTCTCCCCCATCCCTCAGTTCCGGTGCCCTCCTCTGTGCCTGGGCTGGGGACACCTTGGACATGCAGGCGGCAGTCTTGTGGGAGAGAAAAACAACCCCTGGTTGTCTCCTTGTGGGAGATATTAGTTTCTGGGCAGTTTTTTTCATCTGGTCTCTCCACTTCTCACTACCTGAAGAAAGATGTCCCTCCTGTCAGCTTGTCTGCCTACACTGCCAAATAATCTTTCGAGTCCCCGCCATTTACTAGACCATGTGGAGTGTGCTTTTAAGAACGGATGGTCCAGTAACAGCAGCAGTTTAGGGAATTGTGTGGGTGAAATGCTAAGGATCACCTTTTCCCTGGGCCATGGGTGACGGTGGCCTCCATTACTGTACAGCAGTCAGGATAGATGACCAGCATGTCACTGAGTGTAGGAACCAAAAAGCCTTGGGAACTCAGCCAGGGTGGGAGCTGCCCAATCAGGGTGGGCAAGCACATGAGCCAGGAGCGTCCCAGGGGCAGCCTGGCCTGGCCAGGCGGCAGGCTCCGGGACCTCACGTCGCTGCTCTTCCTCCCGGGGTGTGGACTTTGGATAAGAACTGGGATATTTTCCAGAAAGGAATGTCAGGCAGGAGTAAGTGGGGAAGAGGTAGGGTTCAAAGAGCAGGCTTGGTCAAGATGCCACAGGCCAGAGAAACTCGCATAGTACGCAGTGTCCACAGCTCTGCTGCCATGGCTCACCCACTCCCCTCCGTGTCTTTTCTAGAAGGGGAGGCCTTGAGGTCAGGAAGAGGGGTCTCCTTTCCCAGTGGGAGACGCAGGCCACTGACCCCGCTGTAGCTCAGACCCTGGAGACTTCGGGGCAGACCCTGAGGAGTTCAGGGCATGGAGACCTGGGTCCGACTCGGGTACCAGAGGGTGATGCACCCTGGGAGCTCAGACTCCACGGAGGTCCTGCGGGTCCCTCAATGGCTACCTGGACACCACTCAATCAGGTGAGCTGGAAAGAAAGAAAGTTCTGGCAAAGGGATCTTCAGACAAAGACTAAACACCGTGGGAGCCACGTTCTTGATTCAAGAATAACAGCCCTGACTGGTGTAGCTCAGTGGGTTGAGCACAGGCCTGCGAATGAAAGGGTTAAGGTTCAAATCCCAGTCAGGACACATGCCTGGGTTGCGGGCCAGGTCCCCAACAGGGGGCGTGCAAGAGGCAACCACGCATTGACGTTTCTCTCCCTCTCTCTCCTTCCCTTCCCCTCTCTCTAAAAATAAATAAATAAACTCTTTAAAAAATGTTAAAGGATAGCAGCAGGATCTGCTGACAAGTGCTCAGATGGGAAAGGGTTAGGGCAGAGCTGGTTTGCGGTTGCTGGTCCTTCCTTTTTGATTTACCCTCTCAGCACAAGCAAATACCGTATTTCAACTTTCTTGTCTTTTCTTGTTTAAAGAAATTTGGACCATGATGGGCGAAAATGCTCCCAGAACAAACGCTGTGAAGGAGCCGAGGACCTCCCTCCTGGCTGCCCCACCTCTGCTTCTCCAGGTGCAGGGATGGGAAGAGGAGACCTGTGGCCCTCGGCCACGTGGGGGACTCTGCCGCCGGGGCTCACCTGCTGACCCGTGAGTGTGCGATGGGGCTCCCCAGTGGGGCCAGAGGGCACAGCTCGAGCTGCCCCAAGGGGGTATTGTATGTGCATAGAGACCCTGTTGGAGGGCTGTCCTGGGAACATACCTTTCCAGCCACAAGAGAGAAGCAACCAGACCCTGAGGAATGCAGCCCAGAGAAAACCAAGAGGTCAGAACAGCAAAGTTTTAGGGGAGCCTGGCATGTGTGAGGGAACCTTGGGCATGTCTGCCATCCAGGACCTCGGGCATACAGATCCCACTGAAGGGGCCTCAGCTCTGCCCGTCCCCCCCACTCCCACGTAGCGTCAGGATACACCAGTATGCGAACTCCCTGGACTGGCCTCTTGGTGGTGCCGGCTTCTTGTTCCCACTCCAGCGCCGGGCCTGTGGCTGATGGGTGACCGCGCTGGCTCCGCTCAGCTCAGGCGGGCGTCTGCACCTTAGGCAGCATTCCTGCCTACGACCTCTGGACCCTGAGAAGGGGAGTAGACTACAGCGTTGGCAGTGGAGCGTGGGCGTCTGACCCTCCCCCTGCAGGTTTCTCGTGCTCCCTGACCTGCCTCCCTGTGCCAGAAGAGGGTGGGGGCCCCTCTTTTCCAGAGGACCCTCAAGGAACGTGACGTCTCGGTCCCGCCCCCTTCCCCCATGGAAATGGAGCCAGTGTGGTGGAGACAGTGCTGGGCGAGCTGATTTTCATCTGCCACTTCATGGATTCCTCACAACCATCTTGAAGAAGCAGAGGTTATTATTCTCATTCCACAAATGAGGAAACTAAGATTCACGGGGATTAGGTCACTTGCCCCAAGCCACCTGGCTGGTTAAGTGGAGGGGCTGGGATTGAACCCAGGTCTTTGTGGAATTATATCCGACTGCCTTCCCGGGGCCACTGCTCTTCTTCACTGACCAGCAGGCCTGGCTAAAGAATTCAACAAGCTCATGCCTGAGAAGCGTTTGGCACCTGACCTGTGCTAGGTGAACCTCTAAGAGCAAAACCAACACTCAATGGACCAGGGTGGAAATATGCACAATTGCCTTCAAGCAAA